TCCAGTGGGCCATCCTCTGCTTAGAGACGGCCTTACCCTTCTGCCAGCCTCCGTAACAGACAAAGAGCTGGTCTGAGGTCCTAAAGCTTTGTGTTCGGTCTACGTAGCATCTCAAGGCTCGGACGGGGCAGAGCTAGGCTAGGACTGGGTCTGCCTCCTCCGGAGGCAGCGCTTGCAGGCTCACCACCTGATCCCTGAAGGGAGTAGTGGGAACCTTGTGCACATAGCCGGGCCGGGCCTCAGGATTACCTAGGAGTCGGCCGGCCCAAACTCTAGGCACGAATTGCCGACCGAAAATGCATGCAGGTCTCCTACCCTCTTAATGGAGGCCAGTGCAAGCAGGAGCAGTGTTTTCATTGAAAGAAACTTTAGCTCGACTGACTGCAAAGGCTCAAATGGGCCCTGCTGTAGTGTTTTAAGCACCAGAGACAGGTCCCAAGAGGGTATAGAGGAGGGCCGGGGAGGATTTAACCTTCTGGCCCCACTAAGGAACCTGATGACCAGATCATGCTTCCCTACTGACTTCCCTTCCACGGGGTGATGGTTAGCAGCAATCGCAGCGACATAGACTTTAAGGGTGGAGGGAGACAGCCTTCACTCCAGCCCTTGCTGCAAAAAGGAAAGCACAACCCTGATCAGGCATCTCCGGGGGTCTTCTCGGTGAGAAGAACACCACTCGACGAACAGGTTCCATTTCAAAGCGTAAGCGTGTCTCGTAGACGGTGCTCTTGTCGAAGTGATGGTGTCAGCTACCTCTTGGGGTAGGTCACCTAGAACCTCCGCATCCGTCCAGGGACCAGTCGCCAGACGGTGAGTGCCGCACTGCCTCCTGGTACCCAGGGACAGAGAAAACCACTCTCTCATCGAGATTTTCCAGATTCTCCACCCAGCCCTCCTCCGGGGAAGGGAGAGGTGCCTTCACCATCCCCCAAAGAGCAGCTTCCTCCCTCTCTGGGTCACCTGTCCCAGGGCCTCTTGCTCTTTCGCTCACCGCCAAGTTTGATGGGGGCCTGGACGGGTGGGGCGGCCTGCTTGCTGGAGGCTGCTGCGGATGCAGCGCGGGAGCAGGGGCAGACATAGGGGGCCATCCTCGGCAATGAGCAGGCTGGGGCACTTCGGCCAGCAGATGGGTGGAGCCAGCAGCTGCCTGCCGGGGCAGGGTCAAGCTCTCGACCGCGTCGCCGAAGAGACCGGTCTGGGGGACAGGGGCATTAAGGAACCGAACTTTGTCGGCATCCCTCATATCAACCAGACACAGCCAGAGATGGCGCTCCTGGACCACAAGTGTGGACATCGCATGACCCAGAGAACTCGCAGTGACCTTCGTCGCTCGGAACACAAGGTCAGTAGCGGTTCAGAGCTCTTTCAGAACTTCCGGATCATGACCACCCTCGTGCAAGTTCCTCAGTGCCTTGGCCTGATGAACCTGCAGTAACACTGTAGCGTGTAAGGTGGAGGCAGCTTCTCCACAGGCCGTATAAGCATCGCTAGTCAGGCCAGACGAGTACCTACAGACCCGGGAGGGGAGGCACGGTTCGCCCTGCCGGGTGGAGGAGTTTTTTGGACACAATTGCATCGCAACCGACCGCTCCACCGGGGGGACCCTTGTATACCCCCTAGCTGCACCACCATCGAGGGTGGTGAGGGAGGAGGAACCAGCAGGTCGGTTTCCGGCAGTAAAAGGTGCCGTCCATGACCTGGTGAGCTCCTCATGCACCTCCGGGAAAAAAGGCACTGAGGAGGGGCGCTGAGAACCAGTGCGAGCCACCCCGAGAAACCAGTCGTCCAACCTCGAGGGCCCGGGACGTGGTGGAGGTTTCCACTCGAGCCCTAACCTCTCGGCAGCCCGGGAAAGCATAGCCGACATCTCTGGATCCGATTCAGGCCTTGCCACTGCCCCAGAGGGTGGCAGCACAGCCGAATCTTCCTCTCCAGAGAGCTCTCCCTCCGATGCAGTGATCGACATCCGGTCATCGGGAGGAGCACCGAAGGATACTGCTGGTATGCTCTTTGAAGAGGGCCCAGCGTGTTCCTTTGGCAGCTAAACTGGTTGCGAAGCGCTAGAGGAGCGATGGTCCCCTGAGGGTTGGTTCCCTGTGGGGTTGCTGCCAGGACGAACACTAGATCGCGGCAGAGGCAACGGAGCTCCACCCCCCCTGGAGGAAACGGAGGCTGGCCCACAGCTCCGAGATGGTCATCTTCCCGCAATGGGAACATGACTCATCCACAAATGCCAACTCAGCGTGTTTAATGCCCAGACACGTGAGGCAGCGATCGTGACCATCACCCAGCGCCAGGTAACAACCGCATCCAGAAACACACGGGTGAAACGGCATCTTAAAAAAGACGATCCGTCGTCTTTACAAAGACGCGCCCGCTTATTGTACTTTTTTAGAGAAATTGGCTCTTTTAGGGAAATGCTCTTTTACGTACTGAGACACACAGGGGAAACGGCCGTTTGCAGCACGACAGGGGGTAGTGCAGCCTGAAGTGCGCAACCCACTCGACACAGGAACAACCACTGCTGAAGCGCCGTTCGCCAACACAAAAAGCTCCCGAGATCGTGCTAGACTCGTCAAACACAAAGCAGTTTGGTAGAAGCAGAATGATGTTGTCACTCGGCTCCGAAGCGAAAAGCTGGTATACGTTGCACCGGCTGCCTTTTTATGCTCACGCTGTGATCAGTGACACGGGTGAAACGGCATCTTAAAAAAGACGATCCGTCGTCTTTACAAAGACGCGCCCGCTTATTGTACTTTTTTAGAGAAATTGGCTCTTTTAGGGAAATGCTCTTTTACGTACTGAGACACACAGGGGAAACGGCCGTTTGCAGCACGACAGGGGGTAGTGCAGCCTGAAGTGCGCAACCCACTCGACACAGGAACAACCACTGCTGAAGCGCCGTTCGCCAACACAAAAAGCTCCCGAGATCGTGCTAGACTCGTCAAACACAAAGCAGTTTGGTAGAAGCAGAATGATGTTGTCACTCGGCTCCGAAGCGAAAAGCTGGTATACGTTGCACCGGCTGCCTTTTTATGCTCACGCTGTGATCAGTGGCAGCTGGATGCAATCATCGCATGCCAATGTGCATTGGCTCGTTTAGATTACACTCGAAGTGGATTGGTCTCTGTAAGCAAGATCCCAATTCGTCGGTCACCGACGTGACTCGGAGTGACCGACTGAAACGGAACCGCAGTTCCTTTGAATTTAGTGAATTAAATTCAACATGACGACAAATCATGTAAAGATTTTTTTCTTGATGCTCATTTTTTCGGTACTATTAATTCATTCAGAAATACATTTAAAATGCAGTTCATAAATAAAGTGACTTGAATGCAGCTCTTCTGTGATTAGAATGCTTTTCATTTCTGAATGGTTTTCACTCTGAAGTAGTTTGGCATAGTCTATTATTTCTTATAAAAAATTATTTTATCAAAACTGCTTGACTGTTTATTAATATTTGAAAAAAATAACATTATGGTTCAACCAACATGCAGTAACATGCAGGGGGGAAAACAATGTCGAAAATGTGTCAATAATGAAGAAGAAGTAGAAAAACTAACTTTTTAAAATTCTTTAAAAGAAAACCCCACTAGGTAGTTTGGCATGATCTAATATTAATAAGACAACTTTTATCTGCCAAATCAAAGTCATGTGGCGCAACACACAAAAAAAATATAAAACAGGAAATTATATATCATTACTATGTGCCAAGGTTAATAAGTCTCTAAAATATCAGATAATTTGATCTTTGGTTTTAAAAAAAGTCACGTGGTGTGACTCCCCAAATACATAGTGATATTCATAAATTAAAAATTAATGATATTTATATATCTTTATACACTTTTTACCTTGAAAAATAGACACTCTTATTTATGATTGACCCTCATTGACACTTTTGTTTATGTGTATTCAGGCTGTAAGCCCTGGTCCAATGCCATGGAAATCCTAGATGAGAAAGATGGAATGGACACTGAGCTGTTGGTTTATGCCATGACCCTTATTAACAAGGTACCCGGACAGTATTATGGTTCAGAAATGTCAGACACTTTTAGCACACTCTCAGTTACATGGTGTTATATATGAATTTACTCTAAAAAAATTAAATAAAAAGTTATATTATATTCTCATATATCTGTGGTGTTTCTGCAGACATTGGCTGTGCTTCCTGACCAGGACACGTTCTATGATGTGGTTGACAGTCTGGAGGAGCAGGGCATGGAGGCCGTGGCCAAGAAACACGTCAACAGGAAGGGCACAGATTTGGACCTAGTGGAACAGTTCAATATCTACGAGGTTAGCGTGTGCTCAGTTTGCTTTTCAATTAGACACCGTCTGAATGATCTTGTTCAAAACTGATGATACTGAGGTCTAAATTCACACCAAGTCCAATGCAATTGAACAATATGAAATTTAAAAATGTCAAATGTTTTTTTTGTTTTTTTTTACAAAAAAGTTGACAAAACATAGTCCTTGATTTGTAAAACTTTAACATAGATGTGATATTTGTTATTTGCTGTTAGTCTAATAATCATGTTTATCCATAGTCAGCCCTTCGTCATGAAGATGGTGATGATGAGACACAGCCTCCTCCATCCGGACACAAAAGTCGGCGTCGGGCCAGCGTAGGGGCCACTCCTGAGAGGCGGGGTTTGGAACGTCGCCGCAGCCGAAGACACTCGCTCCAAAATGGGAAAGGCCACACTTCTGCTCCTTCTTCCCCCTGCCACAGCCACATGCCCAACATCCTGCCCCTCAATGGCCAGAGGATAGACGATATCAGTGAAAGGTGAGAAAAGAGAAAGAGAGAAATAGAAGTTGACTTGAATAAATTATATTGTGTCTTCTACTACATTTAAAAGCAAGTGACAGAATCCTTTAAACAAGGATTTAACTGAAATTTCAGTTAAAATATCTTAAAAATTGTCGTCATGTAACTGGAAAACTATATATATATATACAGTATATATACTTAATTAATTGTTATATTTTATTTAATTATTAATGCAATGTATTACTATTATTACTTACCAAAGTTTTTAAATGTAAAATAGTTTTGTAATATAACTTTCCAGTCAAAATACAAAAAACAATATATATTTAATTAAAACCCAAATTGGTATGTGACTTGTTTTCAAATAATATACTCCATTGGCAGTGTTTTTATTTATTTATTTGGTTAGTTGTTTGTTTACTTGTTTCTTTATTTAATGTTAGACAGTGTATTATTTTAAAAAATTTTAAACAATTGACAAATAAATGTTTTATTTTGTACTTTTAGATATTTTTTTACTGGGCAACTAAACAATATACAGATTATGAAAATGTGAAAACAAAAATATGACACTTTCAATTGTTGTCTTGTGAAATCTATGAAAAAGTGAAAGTGAAAATCCTACACTAAACCATTTTTTTGCCCTCCCCTGACCACATATATTCGTTTTCAGCAACAAAACACTACGTGTAGTTCAGGATGTACTGATTTTTAAAGAACAGGAAGCAGTTTTATATTGGGTGTTCTATCATGATACTTTTCACATGAGAGTTTTTAAGTCCCAAAAGAAGATGGAGAATTTAATAATTCTCCGAGGGAGAGACTGGGAGCACTTGCTATTCTACAGACATTCATATTAATCATATGCACACGAGGGAGGCGGTGGGAACCTGTGAGGCTGAGAGGAAATAGGAAGTTACTGAAATATGGAGTTTCGAGCCATGCATAATTCTCAGGGCTGTAGCACTACATGAGGTACTCGATCTTGTTCTTGCATTTTTTGTTGTAAATTATAATCATACACTGAATCCGTATCCTTTGAATGTTTCAAAGGACAAAGGTGAAGGCATAGATATCCAAACTGGGAATCACAGTAGTATGTATGAAGCTAGTATAAAGCTTCATATGGTTTTTCTCTCATCCAGCAAGTCACTTGTAAGAAGGGACACGGTAAGGTCACGTCAGGCAGTGGAGAGAGAGAGAGAGTACAGGCCAGCTCAGCCGCTCTATGTTATGTTGGATGTATTCTGTGTCTCAAAGCAGATCTTACTATAGGTGATACTGAATTACGGTGCCCTGGAAAATTTACTCGCCAGTGTGTGAGATTAGTCATCGCATTTGAGTAATATAACTCACTGTGTGTCCTGTAATCAAGAGTAGAGATCTAATCAAGTTCACCAGTGTTTTAGCTGTATAAAATCTTTGTGAGAATAAAATATATAAGTTGAAATGCAAACAAGTAGAAAATAAATGTTTAAGCCTCAAATTAGTTCATAAACTAAAATTAATTTGTATAATATATAGAATTATATATATATAAATATATCTACATTTCTGATGTTCAAAAAAACTATTTTTAAGAAATTAATATCTTTATTTTGCATTAAATTGAAAAAAGTGACAGTAAAGAAGACTTATATTTCATATACATGCTGTTCTTTTTCACAAAAACATTAAGCAGCACATTATTAATTTTCAAAATTTATATTAATAAGAAATGTTTCCTGAGCACCAAATCAGCATATTAAAATGGTTTCTCAAGAATCATGTGACATTTGCAATCACATAAATAAATTTATAAATAAATTATATATATATATATATATATATATATATATATATATATATAAATCGTACTGACCCCAAAATTTTGGAACAAATTTTTTAGAACAAATCTGGTTATCTTGTAAAGTATATGTATATTTTAAAGATGCTTACATGTTTTTACTGGAAAGCGAGACCAAAACTGATTAAAATATTGATTAAAATATAGTAAAAGTTAGTTTTTTATATATATTAAAGAAAATAATTTTGATTTATAATATCTGTCATGATGTTTGTTATATTGGCCATAGTACTAATATATATTAGCAACCAAGATCTGTAAACTGTAACTACTAACAAAATTGTTTACCGTGAACTTGTGCCTGTCTGAAAGCTGCTCAGCACCTGCGGTCAGATATTGGCCAGAAAAGCAAGAATACTCCTGTCACTATCTCTTTATATCTCCCGTCACTTTCCTCCTTTTGTTGAGCTATACAGACTGCTTGTGCTTTTGATTATTGATGACAGAATCTGCTGTTAGTGATGGGCTTCATGGGTTATCTTTTCTTAGAGCGGTTTGGTTGACAGATAGTTGAATTCATCTCAGTCAGTCATCTGATCCTGACGTCTGTTAGCGAACCCACCACAGGAAATTAGAAGGACCTTTGAAGTGCGGTGTTTTCCATATTAGTAATAAATACCAGTCTACTGGGAGATGGAGAGAGAGGCCCTTGAGCAGTGAGGCACGGGACTTCTCCTCTTCCTCCTAAAGGTCTTAATCCTTTGCTGTGTTGACTGTTTTGTAACTCAGTGGGTCTCAACTGGTGGGTTGTGACCCAAAAATGGATTAGTTTTAGAAATGTTTTGACAAAGGGTAGGTATTTTTTTTAGCAATCAAGGAATTAATATTTTGACAGATTCAATACAAATGCAATTGCCAAATTATACATTTAAAACAATTTTTGCAAATAAATTACATTTCATAGTCTTTTTATTGGCAGTCTGGCAGCATAAATTCAATCCAATAATTGGATTGGAACTCCATATTAAACAACAATACTAAACAAAAATTTTTATTTAGAATGTAGGTAACATATTTAATTCATTAATATTTATAAAATATTACAAACTAAATAAAAGAAAAAGATTTGTGTCTTTAACTACAGTTCATGTTATATGAACAACCAGTCAGCAACAACACTGATTTATTTATGTGTGCTTGATTCATTAAACCGACTCATTAGAGTTAACCAATACATTGGTAACCTTACATATAAATAACCTGGCAATGCAAGTAAACTGTGTTTACAAGACTTAATTAACCCTTAAATTCATGAATGTTTCGCCAATCATTATTACATATTCGGGTCTTTAGCGACCCGGACCAATATATCCAGCACGGATGGATCTCTAACTTCTGTAATAGCAAAAAACTCTCTTGATATTTTAAGAACAATTACAGAAGCATATTTCGTTACCCTTTGAAACTTAAAAGGGTTCCATTTCGGCAGATGATTTTACCATCGCTGTCAATGTCAGAGCGCACTTCCACAGTACATTCAGCATCTGCCTCACATTCACAATCTCAGCCATATTCTCAAAACTACCGTTTTCAATGACTTCATATTCAATATTTTGATCACTGATAGCTTATTCACCACATCCAGTATCAAATGACTGTGACATTTATATTTCATTGCGTATATTAATTACTCTGCAGTAAAGCCATTCAAATCAGTTCAATTTTTGCTGATGATATTCGTTTGTTTTATGCCTGCGGCAATTATGAGTGAAACGTCACGTCATCATTGTGTATCAAACAGTGCCACCTTGAGGAAAAAAGATGCATTGCACATATTGAGTCATCAGATATGTAAATATAGTCGTGCAAGAAAAAATACTTACACATTTACATACTTCGGGTCTCTAGCGACCCTATACACTTTTTACAAAAAAGTAATCAGAAAACTGGCATTCTTTTATATTTTACTTTTTTCTTTCTTGTTATATTGTTTATAATTAATAGGATTGATAATTGAGGAATACTAAGAAAGTTGATATCTAACTTAAAAAAATTAAGGAGGGAGAGCGTAGAGAATGATGTCCCGGGTCGCTAAAGACCCGAGGTATGCATTTAAGGGTTAAAAAATCAGATTATTTGTGTATTCTACTCACTGTCTTATTAAGCATAATCTGTTTAAGAACGTACGTTTTGTTTCACTAAAAAGAATCAGCTCATAAAAGTCATTCGTTCAGCAATCAGACTACACTGGTCATGTTGTCTATTTTGGGCTATAGATTCATGCTGCTTTTATGTGCTCTCAGGTATTTCCTACTTCCCACTTCTGAAGCCGTAATTACAAGTTTGTCACGTTCAAGTGCTTTGTTGTCAGAAAGAATAGGAAACATAGACGACAGCAAGTTCATTCTTGCCTATTTTTTTTTGGGAAAGCCAAAACTGATATTTAGTCAATACCCATCAAATTTTGAAGTATAGCATCCCGTTTTCTGGCAACTATAGAAACATTACCCGCATTCACCGCTGACTACAAGAGAGGATATTTGTTACTTGTAGAATCTAGACAATCAGCTTGCTGATGATTCCATAATTTCGGTCAAATAATTGCTATTTTCATTGTGTAAAATAGATACAATATGTGTTTTACTTATCTGTAATGACAAGAGAAAGCAATATAGATGTTATGGGGAAAAAAAGGAAAAGGAAAAAAAAAACTTAACAGTCACTACAGCAATAATTCGCTCCTCCTCCGTGTTTTAGTTTACAGCTCAACTCAAAAACGAAGTATCAAAATTATGTCTCGAGTTTCCCAGTCATAAATACAAATTGAAAGGCCAGGAAGAGGCTAGGAAATTCATATTTATGATTATTCCGAGAGCGCTTTGAAGGCAGCATAATTCGCAATGGTTTCCTCCATATTGTACTGGTGTGACATTAAGTTTGACCAAGTAACATAACATAACTTTTCCTAAAGGTTTTGTATTGTGGTTACCTGTGTCATATTGTTTGCCGTCAGAGCATGTGGTTCTTGTCCTTTCCTTTCATTTCTGGTCTTCCTTTCCTTTCTTTGCTCATCCCTCCTTACAACCCTCAATCCCTCCTTTTTGCCACAGAGATGAGGAAGAGGAGGAGACGAATGAGGAGCTTCAGAAAACAGAGCTCTCTAGACAGGCATCCGAAAGGTATTTCAGCGGGATAGGATTTCAGGGTATAGAGTCTTAGAGCTAGAAACCAGATTGTAGATTCTTATCCGTGTTCTGATGCTATCTCTTTCCCTGACTTGACTAACATAAATGTTTCCCAACATATCATGGTGTTCACCATCATTTACTAGATCTTCTGCTGTTATTCTGTTGTTCGTAGTTGGATGCCATCCACAGTAGATGAAGCTTCTAGCTTGTGTTTGCCTTTAAAGTGCATGGTCAACTTCATTCCCAATGCGGCTGATACAGACAATGAGGAATACCTCCGGGACAGGTCTGGGGTTAAGGTTATCCGCAAGGCCCCAGTATCCTCCCCTCCTTTTACCCCAGATTTTGGCCCTCCGATATCACCCAGACTGTCTTCTTGGGCTTCAGTCAGGTCCTTGGGGGCCCTCTCGTCCCAGGGTTCCTCTGTCACCTCCTCAGCATCCACCTCCTCAAGCGAAGACCCCCTGTCCCCTGTCCTTCCTCTTCTCTCTTCCACCCTTCTTCCTACTTGCCCAGTAGATTTGGACGAGGTGTCTGTGGGCACTCCGCAGGGTCGAGACCCAGACAAGCACTGCAGGTAGTGCAGATAGATGCAGTAGATTCTCGCCACTCACAGAACAATTCCATGCTTGTGCAGGTGGGCTCTGTTCCAAATTAATAAGCTGCCTAAGTAGACAGCATAGTTAGGGATCATAGGCAATGATTCTGTGTTCCTGACACAAAAGATGTTGTGTTATCAATGTGATGAACTATGAAACTCTATTGGAATCAGGTGTTTGAAGTGTAGTTCACATGAGGAGTGCTACTTTTGGGGTGTGTGTGAGTGTGTAGAGTTGCTGCCTATGTAAAGTGTTTCAAGTCGAGTTCTATTAGGTTCCTGTCTTAAAAGAGAGACACCTATTTAGACAGTAAAGTTTGGAATAGAGCCATTTAAAGTTGCATGTCAAATTCAGAGAATGACTTTCACTCCCACATACTGTATGTCAAGCTATGAGATCCCTGAGAGATGAACTTAGAAAATCCATGTCTGATTTTATTGATTCAACTCTCACAAACACTATGACCACAGTATTTGTGGAACTTTCATCCTCTAGTAGGAAGGAAGTGTGGCATGGGATTCGCTTCATCTCTGGATCTCCTGTGAATGGCGAGGGTTTATTGTTTTGCCTGTTCCATCAAGCCCACCTCTGAAAAGAGCCAGACCCTCACCTAGTGGATCATCACCCTATCCCTTTATACCTGCTTCCAAGAGAACACTGTAAAACATCCTGTATCTTCCAAAAATTGCACCCTCATAAAAAGTGCTACGCTTGCTGTGTCTTAACTTATGGTCATGTACAATATGTGGCTTATTCTGTCTTATATGTCAAATCCTCAGACCAATAAAAGAAGAAATGGATACCAGTATGATCAGAGCCTGATAAATCATTATACACTATGGGCTTTATGTTGCTTACTTGATATTTGATGGAATGCAAAAAGACAGATCGTTTTATAAACAAAAGTCTTTTTTCCCTTGAACCAGCCACTGTAGTGCAAGACACTCCCTAAAGGATGCTAACTTTTACTGACATTTACAGCTCATCTGCCTTTAATTGGTGCATTGTACCACTACAGAGCCAAGAGAAGCCTGTAAATTAAGTCACATATAAAAGGGCAATTGTATTTCACCCTGGACAGTGCCTGTAGAGCCAACATTTCATGAGAATAAAGCTGAAAATGCTTTGCAATGTCATGTGCATGTTTGCTTGACATTAAGACTGTGGCAGCTTGAGGAACCCATCTGGATTATAAAGTGGATCAAAGACAGTTCTTTTTTTAGTCTGCTGACTCTATGCAAATGTGGACTCTTTAATATTTAAAAACCTAATTACACAGCAGTCGGAAGCTAACGGCACAGTACGCTATTAAAGTCATCATGAAATCGTCTCAGGTTACTTATGTAACCATGGTTCCCTGAGTAGGGAACGAGACACTGCGTCCTCTAGGGGGAATGCCTAGTCGTGACCCGTGTCTGAAGCATACATTGAAAAAACACCAACTCGTTGGCCGGCGACAGCCATGACGTCACTACCAAACATCCAGCTCTCAACGGAGAGGGGGCTCAACCTACAGCATGTTCCAATGGTGGAACAGCTAGCAGTTATTGAGCTGAGGGAGCAACACACCTAGTTCTCAGTCGAGAAGGGGGCTCGACCTACATCATGTTCCAATGCTGGAATGGCTAGCAGTAGTTTACCTTGGCTGAGGGAGCACAAACCCAGCTCTCAACGAGAGGGGGCTCGACCTGCAGCATGATTGTAAAATCAGAAGGGTAAGCATACTGCAAGCTAGCCAAACACTCAGCGCATCAGGGAGGCAGAGGAAGGGCCTAATTCACCTGATGCTGCTGGTTCCAGGTGCTCTGGAGAAACAGAGAACTCAAACTTCTCACGTGAGAGGAGAACTTCGAATTCAGAGGAATAACGTTGCTCATTCCAGGTAACACTTTGATAAAGGGGAGCACTGGTCAATACTACCACGAGGACAGCCCATGGAGCGAGGAATCCAACTCCTTAGAGAGGATTAATGCTCGAAAGAAAACACCATACTCACAATAACCCTCAATGGTGAGGGGAGCGATGCTTCCAGAGTATGTCGACAGAGACACACTAGTTGAGTGGAGCCCAAAGTACCGGGGTCTAACCAACTCCGAGAAAGGGAACGAGATCAAAAATGCGTAACCCTTACCATACA